GTGATGTGTGTGAATGTGTGTGTGTTGCGTGCGGCCTTGTGTGTAGTGTGTTTTTGCGCGGCGCGCTCGTTTTTACGCATGTCGTTCTATCTGGTGCTGTGGATGTCGTTATATCTATCGACGGCACCACGGGGGGCTGTGCATGTAATGGAGGACGTTATCGGGGGCGATGCTGCCGAAATGCTCACTATTGTCTACGCCGCGCCTTTATATTTTTATATATCTATCATGAACTTACTCTTGGACCCTTGTTGGTATACGGGGTTTTGCTAAGTAGCCTGATCTACTGTAGTAGACTCTGTTTGAGGCTCGAGGTAGAAAAAGAGTGGATTGATTGCTGACTGGAGGGGAAGACGTCGTGGAAGCAGGGAAGGAGAAAGGTAGAGCACGGTGGCATCAATGCGGTGCCAGGACGCGGAAGTGTATATACATCAATCAGAATAATATCTATCTAAATAATAATAATGATAAATATTAGAGTTAAGCAAATGATCCGGAAACGCGGACCACGTAGCGAGCAATAATCACACCCGCTACCAACTACCATAGACCCTACTGTGGTTAGATTGCGCCCTACCTACATGTATAGTGTATATTTTGCCAGTAACGAAGAGAGCGACCACACACACACACACACACACACACACACACACACACACACACACACACACACACACACACACACACACACACACACACACACAGGCATGCGATTAGTGTTACGGAGCTTTCTGTGAATGTTCAGAAATCGAATTGCTGAGAAGGAGAGGCGAGACGTCGACATTATTACGTATAAAAAGCATAATTGTAATGCGAAGCGGCAGAGGCATGCCATTAGTGATACGAACCTGGCGTGGTGAGATTCATTTCTGCATCATGGCGACAGCAATTGGTTCACTGTGCAACATCTCCGGGTCCGTGTCCAGAATGGGAGCTGGATCGGCTGCATGGAGTCGGATATTGAACAGGTAGGCGTAACTGTTAAAGCGATTCAGGCGTGGATCGCTTGCCTGATGATTCCTCTCAACCTGATCAGCATATCTGCATATCTTTTCGTTATCGTGGCTGTGACACGGACATCACACCTGCAGGAGCCGGCACACAAGCTGATCGCAAACTTGGCTGTCGCTGATTTTATTATGGGCGTCCGAGGAGTCTTCATCGCACCAATGACCTTTCTAATCGAATTCCCGCCAAAGATCATATGCCTTGGACATTGCGCTGTGGTTACGCTCTCGGCCCTTGCATCAACAAACTCTCTCATTGCCATCAACGTAGGCAGGTACATTGCAATATCGCGACCGTCACATTATTACCAGATCGTCACACCGCGCGTTTTCTTGTTAATGGTAGTCCTGGCTTGGAGCTTTGCCGTCTTCGTAAGCGTGTTAAGTCTCATTGTTAACCGCTGGCAGCCGGATATTAACTATGCATTTATGAGATCGTTTCGAGTAGAATATCTGTCATCTTAATCTCGGTACTTATTATAACGTGTGGCGCCGCCCTCGTCTCCATCTACGCTTACATAATGATGATTACCAAGCACCACCAGCGGCAGATCCACCAGGAACCGAGCAGCAGCGGTTCGCAGGAGGCAGGAGCGTGCGGAAAATCCATCTCTGCTGAGCTCGCCAAGCATCTGAAGCTTACCAAGACGTTTGGCATCATCGTCGGCGCCTTCGTCGTCTGCTGGACTCCGTACCTCTTCTTGATGCTACTGAGCCTCGCCGACGTCTACCACGACACACTCGGCGTGGCGACAGGCTTTGACTATCTGATGGCAGACTCCAACTCTTTCATGAACTTCTTTATATATGCTTCAAAGTGCAGTCGGTTCCGCGCCGCCTTCCGGGCGGTGTTGCTCTCGCGTGGACACTAGAGACGTGGCTACTGTCCAACCTTACAGGAATCATCGCGATTGTTTCATCCGTTCGATTAAGTGTTAAAGCAGGTAGATTGATTTAGCTTTCACGTTAGCCGAGTTTCGGGCGGGGTTCGGGTGCAGTGTTGCCAACGCGTTGGACACTAACGAATGTGTGAAGTGCCGTTAAATATGGTTTAAAATCTTCTCAGAGAGTTTTGCGAATACTTCGTTAGCGCAAAATCAATTGGCGCAGTAATGTATCAAGCTTGCTTTGTATTTATGTTGTGAAGCTTACTTAAATGAGGAAAATGTTTATATCGCATAGCTTGCCACCATGTTTTATATTAGTGATGACTATTGCCAAGATTCATGCTTTCTCGTGGCGGAGGGTTGACAGCTGGGGACAGTCAAGGCTGTACACGCGCCAGCTGCAAATATCCCTTTTATTGGATGGGGCAGTGCGACTGATATCTTCATCCGATACGTCCAAGTATGTAGGTACAACAATATCCCGCATCACGCTAGTTAAATGATTCGGGAGAACGAATGACGCGTTTCTGAGAAAAATCGAAGGGCTAATTAATGTAATATAATAAATTATGTATATTTAATTATGTAGCATAGTATCGTGACAACGCTACGAGATAAAATTAGAGTTCAGAAATATAATTAATAAGAAGGGGAGGGAAGACATTATTACGTATAAAACACATAAAATGAAAGCGAAGCAGCAGAGGCACGCCATTCGTGTTGCGGAGCTGGCGTAGTGAGAGTAATTTCTGCATCATGGCGACAGCTAATGGTTCACTGTGCAACATCTCCGGGTCCGTGTCCGAGAATGGGAGCTGGATCGGCTGCATCGAGTCGGATATTGAACAGGGAACGGTTAAAGCGATTCAGGCGTGGCTCGCTTACCTGCTGATTCCTGTGAACCTGATCAGCATACTTGTTAATCTTCTCGTCATCTTGGCTGTGACACAGACATCACACCTGCAGAAGCCGGCACACAAGCTGATCGCAAACTTGGCTGTCGCTGATTTCATCATGGGCGTCCGAGGAGTCTTCATCGTACCAATAACCTTTCTAATCGAATTCCCGCCAAAGATCATATGCCTTGGACACTTCAGTGTGGTTTTGATCTCGTCGATTGCATCAATAAACTCTCTCATTGCCATCAACGTTGACAGGTACATTGCAATATCGCGACCGCTACACTACTACCAGATCGTCACACCGCGCGTTATCTTGTTAATGGTAGTCCTGGCTTGGAGCGTTGCCGTCTTCGTAAGCGTGTTAAGTCTCATTGGCAACCGCTGGCAGCCGGACCAACCATGCATCTTTGACACCGTTTCGAGTAAAATATCTGTCATCTTTAGCATGATAGTGGTTTGTACGTGTAGCATCGCCATGGTCTTCATCTACGCTTACATGATGATGATTGCCAAGCACCACCAGCGGCAGATCCACCAGGAACCGAGCAGCAAGGGTTCGCAGGAGGCAGTAGCGACCAGAAAATCCTTTTCTGCTGAGCTCGTCAAGCATCTGAAGCTTGCCAAGCCGTTTGGCATCGTCGTCAGCGCCTTCGTCGTCTGCTGGGCTCCGTACTCCATTCTGACGCTGCTGAGCGTGGCCGACGTCTACCACGACACGCTCGGCGTGGCGACAGGCTTCGGCTATATGATGGCAGACTCCAACTCTTTTATGAACTTTTTCATATATGCTTCAACGAGCAGTAAGTTCCGCGCCGCCTTCCGGGCGGTGTTGCGCTCGCGTGGACACTAAAGACGTGGCTACTGTCCAACCTTACTGGAATCATCGCGACTGTTTCATTCGTTCGATTAAGTGTTTAAGCAAGTAGATCGATTTAGCTTTCAGATTAGATGAGTTTTGGGCGGGGTTCGGGTGCAGTGTTACCCACGCGTTTGCCACTAAAGAACGTGGGTTGTGCCGTTAAATATGGTTTAAAATCTTCTCAGAGAGTTTTACGTATACTTCGTTAGCGCAAAATCAATTGGCGCAAAAATGTATCAAACTTGCTTTCTATTCATGTTATGAAGCTTACTTAAATGAGGAAAATGTTTATATCGCATAGCTTGCCACCGAGTTTCATATTAGTGAAGACTATTGCCAGGATTCATGCTTTCTCGTGGAGGAAGGTTGACAGCTGGGGACAGTCTAAGCTGTGCACGCACTAGCTGCTAATGTTCCTTTCATTGGATGTGGCAATGTGGCTAGCAGCTTCACACGATACGTCCTCGTAAGTAGGTACAAACAATACCAAAAACTGATGTCGTCACCGTGTCTGTGTGAATCGTCTGCTAATTATAAAACTCGCTGTGCTCTGTCTATTGTACGCGCTGTTGTCGTTTTACCTGTTTTGAAAGGTTTTGTAGAAAGTATAGGCAAAAAGTATTGGTGGAAAGTATCGGCGGAAAGTATTGGTGGAAAGTATCAGTGAAAAGTATCGGTGGAAAGTATCGGTGGGATGGATCGCTGGAAAGTATCCGTGGACGTTTATTTCTGGACGCGTTTTTGTGTGAATCTCGTGCTAAATATTATTCGCTGTGGCCTTGTAAATTTGTTGTACGTGGAGTTGTTTTCCTGTTTCGAAAGTATTGGTGGAAAGTATCAGTGGAAAGTATCGGTGGAAAGTATCGATGGAAAGTATCGGTGGATAGTATCGGTGGAAAGTATCGCTGCATGGATGTTTACTTCTGGACGTGTTTTTATGTGAATATCGCGCTAAATATTATTCGCTGTGCCCCTTGTAAATTTGTTGTACGTGGAGTTGTTTCCCTGTTTCGTAAGTATCGGTGGAAAGTATCGGTGGAAAATATCGGTGGAAAGTATCGGTGGAAAGTATCGCTGCATGGATGTTTATTTCTGGACTCGTTTTAGTGTGAATATCGCGCTAAATATTATTCGCTGTGCCCTTGTAAATTTGTTGTACGTGGAGTTGTTTTCCTGTTTCGTAAGTATCGGTAGCAAGTATCGGTGAAAAGTATCGGTGAACGTTTGCTTCTGGACGTGTTTTTGCGAGAATATCGCGCTAAATTAATATGATTCGCTTTGGCTTGTAAATTTGTTGTACGTGGAGTTGTTTTCCTGTTTCGTAAGTATCGGTAGCAAGTATCGGTGAAAAGTATTGGTGAACGTTTGCTTCTGGACGTGTTTTTGCGAGAATATCGCGCTAAATTAATATGATTCGCTGTGGCCTTGTAAATTTGTTGTACGTGGGGTTGTTTCCCTGTTTCGTAAGTATCGGTGGAAAGTATCGGTGGAAAATATTGGTGGAAAGTATAGGCGGATAGTATCGGTGGAAAGTATCGGTAGACGTTTACTTCTGGACGCGTTGTTGTGTGAATCTCGCGCTAAATAATATTCGCTGTGCCCTTGTAAATTTGTTGTACGTGGAGTTGTTTCCCTGTTTCGTAAGTATTGCTGAAAAGCATTGGTGGAAAGTATCGGTGGAAAGTATCGGTGGAAAGTATCGGTGAACGTTTGCTTCTGGACGTGTTTTTGTGTGAATATCGCGCTAAATTAATATGATTCGCTGTGGCCTTGTAAATTTGTTGTACGTGGGGTTGTTTCCCTGTTTCGTAAGTATTGGTGGAAAGTATCGGTGGAAAGTACTGGTGGAAAGTATCGGTGGAAAGTATCGGTGAAAAGTATCGGTGATAATTATTGGTGGAAAATATCGGTGGGTAGTATTGCTGGAAAGTATAGGCGGACATTTCATTTCTTGACCCGTTTTCTCGCCAGATTTTGCTTCTTCGGAAGGAAAGCGTTTTCCTGTGTCGTCGTTGGTGTCGTGTGTGAATTTTAATTAT